CGACGTCGTTAGCCTGCGCGGGGGTGGAGGCGGCACAATATCGTGCCGCACGTTGCCATGCATCGCGTCTTCAAAGAAGCTTCCAACTCGAGTAGAAGGGTGGACTTCAGGAGTGTAGTAGCGCAGAGAGGCAGGACTCACGTAAGAGGCCTCCGCGAGAACGCAGGTAGCACTGCACGTGCCCTTGCGGTTGTGTGTAGATGTGTACATTCCTCCGCGCAAACCCACTGCATCCTGATGTTCCACCATGTCCGTAGTCCACCAGATAGTGCCGTGGATGGTGAGGAGGAGAGCTAGAACTGATCACCAGAGGCCAGCTCCGCTGCCAAGTTTGAAAGGGGCTGGGAGGCCCAACCATACGCTTCGCCTAAGGCGAAGCCCATATCCACCTCTGTTGTACCGTAGTAACGATAGTCCCAGAAGTAGGAGATCGCCGCGGGAGCGACGGGCCGTGTCAAGCGAAGATGTTTTCGGTCCCGATGGCAAATAGTGCCTCGCGATGAGGCGCAATCCTATGTTGGCGGCCGGACGCGTGAGCACAAACGGCCGCGGACAAACGCTCGCTATCTCTCGCCTTTGCCCCAGCCTCCTTTAGAGTCCAAGACGGCCCAAGAGGGCCCAAGAAACTTCCACGTCCGCCCACGAAGCCTCCAAGACGGCCCAATACGGCTCCAAGATGGATGGCTCAAGACGGCCCTAAGTGGCAACCAAGAGGTCTCAAAGACGGCCCAAGAGGCCTCCAAGAGGGCCTCCAGGAAGGCCCGAATAGGCCAAAATCAATGATTTGCCGCAGGTTGTTGAAGGATTTTGGATTTTGCTTATCTTCGGCCTTCCGACGGTCAGAGACGGCCAAAGAGCCCCCAAACCCAAGATCGCCCAAGAGGCAACCAAGATTGTTCCAGAACGGCCCGAGAGGCCGCCAAGACGGCCCCACGGAACCCCAAGACGGCCCAAGAGGCCTCCAGGACGCCCAAGATGGCCTCCAAAACTCCCGAGACGGCTTCCGACGGCGTCAGACGGGCCAGAAGGCCACCAAGACGGCCCAACATGGCTCCAAGATGGCCCAGGACGGCCCAAGAGGCCCCCAAGAGGTCTCCAAGACGGCCCAAGAAGCCTCCAAGAGGGCCTCCAGGAAGGCCCAGGAAGCCAAAATCAGCGATTGCCCTCAGGTGTTTGAAAGATTTGGGCATTTGATTCTCTTCTGCCTTCCGACGGTCCGAGACGGCCCAAGAGCCCCCAAAGATCGCCCCAAAATCGCCCAAAAGGCCTCCAAGATGGCCCCAAGACGGCCAGAGGGGCCCCCAAGACGGCCCCAAGAGGGTCTCAAGACGGCCCAAGGGGCTTCCAAGACGCCCAAGATGGCCTCCAAGACGGCCCTGGAGCAAAACAAGGAGGCCCAAGTCGGCCCAGAGAGGCCCCCAAGACGGCTTCTGGCGGCGTCAGATGGGCCAGGAATGTCACAAGACGGCCAATGAGGCACCCGAGAAGCCCCCAAAGGCCCCCAAGAGGCCCAAGGAGAGCTCCAAGGAGGCCCCAAGAGTGTCCCCAGAGGCTCCCCAGATGCCCCCTCCTCCTCCTCCTCCTCCTCCTCCTCCTCCTCCTCCTCCTCCTCCTCCTCCTCCTCCTCCTCCTCCTCCTCCTCCTCTTCATGTGGTGTGTATTAGTATGACTCGCATTCGTCTTCTTTAGATATTCTTAGAAATAGTAAGATATTTCTTATTGTTATTCATAGCATGTCATTATTATTCAGATCATAATTAGCATGATCATTCGTATTAGCATTAGTGTCCTTAGTATTATTGGTATTATTATTCTTAGAAATAAAAGTAATAGTCCTAGCATCCGTAATTGAATTATAACTGGTAGTTCCATTCGTACCGTTCGTCTTCTTAATATTATTAACAGTGTTATAAGTAGTGTTATGATTCGCATTGCTTTTCTCATGGATATTCGTATTACTAGCATGCGTATTAGTACTATGATTAATATTCGTATTACTATCATTCGCATTCTTCTTCATAGCATGATTAAAGTTAATCGTAATAACTGTATGATTAGTATTGGTCTGAATAGTCGTCGTATTATTGTTCGTCGTCTTATTATTACTATGATTCGCAGTAGTGCCGTCATCCTTGGTATTCGTATTACTAGTATTAACAATATTATCAGTAGTACGATTATCGATATTATTATTCTCGCTGTAAAGTAAGATTAGCAGTATCATTGACATGAGCACGGAGAATAATAAAGAACAGATAGTGCTTAATAACATAAATCCGAATCTTAGTTTTAGCGTTGGTATCATCATTATTATCATTGCTCCTCGTCCTCCTACTTCTCTTATTCCTCCTTTTCCTCCTCCTCCTCCTCCTCATCCTCCTTCTCCTCCTCCTTATCTTCCCCGCCATCCTCCCCCAAGTGTTCCCCGAAGGATCTCCACAACGGCTGGGGAAACACGTGGTCCGATAGTTTGGCAGAGTTCTTGCCACAACGCTCGGCCACATGGGCGATTCCAAAAGGCGGGAGTCGGCGGTGATTCGCCATAGGCGTCTTCGATCCGCCGCCCCTTGTTTTCTTGCCAAATGGGGTGCCTGGCGTGCTGGGTGTTTGGAGATTTTTGGTTCTTTTAGAACTCCCTCTGGGGTTTCGGCCGATGCCGCCGGCCACCCAGAAGGCCGCGTACGAGGTGGCTGCAAAGGATTTCCATACTCTAGATGACTCGAAGATGGCCCAAGTTTGCCTGGCCCCCAAGTTCGCCTAAGGTGACCCAAAATGGCCTCCTAGACGGCCCAAGAGGGTCAAGGATGCCTCCAAGTCCGCCCAAGAAGCCTCATAGATGGCCCAAGATGGCCCGGGAGTCCCCCAAGAGGCCTTGAAGACGGCTCAAAAGGCATTCAAGAGGTCCTCCAAGAGGCCCCGACGAGGCCCAAATCACTGATGTCCCTTCAGGTTTTGAGGGATGTGGGCGTTTGCTTTTTTCCGCCTCCCGACGGCCCAAGAGGACCCCCAGATCGCACCCAGAGCACCCGAGAGCCTCCCAGATGGCCAAATAACGGCACAAGTGGCCCCCAAGACGGCCCTAAGATGGCCCCAAGACGGCCCAAGAGGCCTCCAAGACGCCCAAGATGGCCTCCAAATCGGCCCTGGAGCGCCCAGATAAGGCCCAAAGACGGCCCACAGCGGCTTCCGACTGCGTCAGGCGTGCCAGGAACGCCCTACGACGGCCAAACAGGCCCCCAAGAAGCCCCCAAATGCCCCCAAGAGGCCCGCGGAGGCCTCCAAGAGGCCTCCAAGAGGCCTCCAAGAGGTCCCCAGAAAGCCCCAAGAGTCCCCCAATACCGTCCAGCGCCCCAAGAAGGCTCTAAGTCGGCTTGAGATGTTCCGAAGATGGCCAGGAACGCCCTCACACGGCCAAGGAACCTCCCAAGGAGTTCCCACAAGTCCTGAAGAGAACCAAGGAGGCCTCCAAGAGGCCTCCAGGAGGTCCTCAGGAGGTGCCCAAGAGGCCCAAAGAGTGCCCTGCAAGCTCCCAGGAATCCTCCTCCTCCTCCTCCTCCTCCTCCTCCTCCTCCTCCCTCCTCCTCCTCCTCCTCCTCCTCCTCCTCATCATCATCATCATCATCATCATCATCATCATCATCATCATCATCATCATCATCAGCAGCTCAGCATCATCATCATCATCACATCATCATCATCATCATCATCATCATCATCATCATCATCAGCATCATCATCATCAGCATCATCATCATCAGCATCATCATCATCATCATCACATCATCATCATCATCATCATCATCATCATCATCATCATCATCATCATCATCATCATCATCATCATCATCATCATCATCATCATCATCATCATCATCATCATCATCATCATCATCATCATCATCATCATCATCATCATCATCTTCCTCCTTCTCCTTCTCCTCCTCCTCCTCTTTCCTCATGTTCCTTCCCTCGTCCTCTTTCTCGTCGTCCCCCAAGGTCTTCCACAACGGCTAGAGGGACACACACACACACACACCGATAGCGTGCCAAATTCTGGCCACAACGTTCGAACACGCCCTGGAAGGGTTCTAGAAGCATACTACAGGAGGTCTTCTCGAGCTCGCCCAAGGACTCCAGAGGGTTTAAACATGCTCTCAACGGCACCAGAGCGCTCGAGTGGATTTGAGAAGGCCCTGGAAGGCTTGAGAGGGCTCTGCGGGAGCCTTGCTGGCTAAGGAAAATTTGGGCACGCGCTGAAGGGTGTTCTATGGCTCTGGGGTGTGCTGGGAAGTTTCTGGGATGTTCTGGTTCCTGGGTGTTCCAATGCGATCTGGTGAAAGTCCCCAGGGCGCTCCAAAGGCTTGCTCATGTTGAAAAAAAGCGTTGTATGACCGTTGGTGAGGATCTGAAAAGATCGAGTGCTCGAGGGCCCCGCAAGGCACCACAATGGTTTCGAGAGCTTGAAGGACTCTAGACGGGCCGCAAAGGTTTTCAGCACGATCCAGGAGCTGCGAAAACACGTCATACTGCTCTAGAGGGTTCTAGACAGATCGAGGGGGCCACTTGGGTGCTGTGGAATGCGCTCGGGGCCCTTTAAAAAATGCGACGTTAGAAGGCTCTGAAATGGCGTTGTCTAAATCGGAAGGCGTGCACATCCTCTCGAGGTTCCTGGAAGCATCCATCGGCCTCTCGCACCCCCAGCCGCTCCTCCCTCTTTTTCTGTCTCTCCATCTCTCTCTCTTTCTCTCTCTCTTTCTCTCCATCTCTCTCTCTTTCTCTCCATCTCTCTCTCTCTCTCTCTATTTCTCTCTGTTTCTCTCTTTCTCTCTATCTCTCGTTCTCTCTATCTCTACCTCTCTCTCTCTCGAGCGCCCTGGGGGCCCGAAACTTTGCGGGTTCAACCGTCGTTGCTCCTATGGCACAGCGCACGGCTGTCAGGGTCCCTCCCCATCCCCCCCCCTCTCCTTCCCTCCCATTTTGGGGAGGCAGCATGGCCGCACCTTGTGGGCACCGAAGCCCGCCGCCACTCGCCGGCTCAGGCACCGCCGCGGCGGCCGTGCGCAAGCGCGCGCGCGAGGCCGGCAACAGGCGCGCAGGCGCGCTCAGATTCGGCGGCCGCGGCTGCGAGGCGATCCGCCGGCGCCGCCCCTCCCACCACTACATCTCCCTCCTCCCTCCCCCTCCTCCTCCTCCCCCACCTCCTCCTCCACCTCCACCTCCTCCTCCTCCTCCTCCTCCTCTTCCTCCTCCTCCTCCTCCTCCCTCCCTCCCTCCCTCCCTCCTCCTCCTCCCTTTCCTCCCCTCCCTCCACCACTACTACTACCACTACTACTACCATTACTACTACTACTACTACTACTACTACTACTACTACTACTACTACTACGACTGCTACTACTACTACTACTACGAC